ATGTTGACAAAATCCGACCATTCCAGCGTCGAAACGGCGGACTTTTGGCAAAAAATTTCATTTTTCCTTAATTACTCCTAAACCGTTGAATCTACGGGAAAATTGTATAAAACCTTTCTTGTAGAGGACGACGAGATCTACAATATCCATGTAAAAAATTTTCGCTAGCATTAATATTTAACGAGTTATTGACGAAAAACGAAAAAACAGTTTTTTGCAAATTACTCGTTAACTATTGACGCTAGCGAGAAACTTTTATATAGAAATTGTAGATCTCGTCGTCCTCTACAAGAAAGGTCTGATGGAATTTTCCCGTATCTCCAACGGTTTGGAAGTTACTGGCAAAAAACGAAAATTTTGCAAAATCTGAAGGGGTACCCCTTGGAAAAATCTCGGGAAAAAAAAATTTTTTTTTTGTCACGTCCAATCAGGACGTAATCCGAGTTGAACGTATTCCAAAGTTACTGACTAGAACGTACATCGAGGTAACACTGTATTTACAAAATTCTTTACTTGTAATTCCAAATGATCATCGCACCACCCACATCCGAAAGATAAGCCGAGTAGTTTCGACTAAGAGAAGAATATATAGAGGCGATCTTCGATAAAACGGTCACCGCGACCTGAGCCTAACGGGATAGCCTCGATAAACTTTGGCTACGTTTCGACCACTCCTAGTCTCCTACTCTAGTAACTGTGGACGTATACCGAAACCGAACTGTCTTACGATTAGACAGGATGAACATAATCGGGAGGACTCGAATTTTGTCACTTTAAAATTTTATAGGTAGTTTTTAATAATAATAGGAATTTATAATAACAATTTCAACATGCTAGCATCGTTTCAGTTTATAGTCTATACATCCTTAAATATTAAGAATTTGTAGAATCTTTCTTGTAGAGGACGTCAGCGCCTACAACTTTTGTATATAAATTTTTTCGCTAGCGTCCATAATTAATTAATAAATAAAATTGTTTATTGTAAAAACTTTTCCTTCGTCCAAGCGAGAAATGTTTCCAGTCTTTTTCTTTAATATAAATAATTGTGAGTATAGATTGCAGAAACCAGTCGCGGTACACTTTCAGATCGGCGTTATATAGAACGTTGTTACCTTTCGATAGTGAAAAGTAGTTGAAACAAGCGACCAAGCGTGAACCGTTGTGTATCTACGTAATATAATTACAAAAACTTATACGCTTTTTCTGATGTTCTTTACACAGAGTCAAAGTCTTTTATCCTAAGAAGCGTTTCGAATTTATTGCATCAGTAGTTCTCTGCAAATAATTTTCAGTATGTTTAAACAATTTCGTCGAACGCTGACATATAGCATTCATCGGTAAAGTCCAAGGCTAACTAGGTTCGACCGCTTGCTTATAAGATATTCCGTCTAAGATAATCAAGTGAACAATATAGCATAATTGAACTTCTTTTTATTTCTATTAACAGAATTTTCGGTGGAAGTATTTATTGTAAAAATGGGTGAATACTGTTAGATATATACGCAGATGTTCCACATTCGATGGGTTTACACAAGTCATGTTATGCGATTTATGGTAACGATCGCACAATTACATGATTCATGCTTACTCGCTTTATACGGTATTTAGTCGAAACCGAAACGTAATTGCATACATGCATTGTTTTCGTCCTCCTCTTACAACAATTATCGCGAGGCGTAGATAACGCTAATCTGCAGGTTGAGTTCGTATTTAGGAGAGTTTCACAAATTGTTAATGAATGATGAGAATTTTTTTTCTCTCTTCTTATCGCAGGCGAGCACCAATTATAAAATACAGGAGACGACAGAATTTTGTGTTTTATTAATGTAATGTCTAGTAGCTGTTAAAATTTCAATGCTTTGTAATTATTTTCATGTAAGGGTTTATACAACCTTAACACTAAAATGACCATTTCTAAAGTTTTTTATAAGGAATAAAAAAAACTAAATTTAATCATATTGCTGAAGTTATAATTNGTATTATAGTTGCATATTTGATGCTGTCCATGAACACTGGCATCAGTTATCGATGACCCACGGTAACCACGAAGGATAAAATTTCTTTTATAGCCGATGAACAAAGATACCTGACTCACCGTCCAGGAATTCATTTGTTATTATCCCACGATTAAATATTCCTTTTAATCGCAAAATGAAAACTATGATCCATTAATAGTTCCCAAGGAAAATAGTGTACGCAGTGATTATGGAATATTATCAGAGGCTGCGATCTTTTATGCGAAACCTGCCACTGCCGCGTCTAACGTAAGTAGTTTTACGACAAGACTTAATAGTCTTCCCACGTAACTGGAGCAATCGGATTTTAATTAGAATTGCCTCTTATTGTAAATGAACGTCGTGATCCTCCTTCCTATGCACACGTGGCCGGGCGCAATCCGGTGCCAACAGAGACAGGAGGACTAAGTAAATCGGGTTGTACCGTTGCGATTTCTCTGACGCGACGACGTGGGTACAATATGGTTTGCGAGGCGGTGCAACACGGGTGTATTGACCTCTTCCAGGGACGGCGTGCATCAAGACGGTTTGCAGTCAACAACCAGCCCGTTGCGAACTCAAATGCCAGACCGAGGGAAATCTTTCCGTAACGCGTTGTACTTAATCGAACTTTTCTGCCATTAATCCTCCACGCAGCTATTATATTGAATAAAACACCTCCGAGACTAAACGTCGCATGTAATAGTTTTTAAGTTTAATTAGACATAAATCACTTAGTATAAAAAATATTCTATAAGTTGAATGAGTACTTGGGAAAATGAGGAGAATATCTGGTTTACTGAGTGCCGGATATTCGGTCCGCGTTAAAT